CTGACCCGTGTGGTGCCGTGCGGGGTGCGCGCAGCGCGCGGGGGTGGGGGGAATCCGGTGCAGGCCGGGTGACGCTCTTCGCGGCTGCGGCAGTAGTTGGCACCCCGGTGCCGGCGCTCGGCCGATGGTTTCGGTGGTGGTGGTGGCATGCGGCCTCCTGCCACCCAGCTGCAGCCGGAGACAAGTCTGACCTAGCAAAATGCAGCCTCACCTGGTTCGACCACCGAAGTTGTCTTCCTCTAGGAACCCGTAGTGTGGTGTTGTCGGTGTTCCTGCGACTGCTGGGTAGTTTGAAGGAAGAGGGTGGGACCCTCAAGGGATTCCGGTTTTCTACTCCAAATTGTACAACAAGCTCCTCTAAGTCAGTTTAGATCCGTGCGGACCAGTCTGTTTTGTGCAAGTCCTGTTCATACTCTCCAAGCCACAGTCTGCACTGAGTTCATTCTGCATACTTTCTTGGTTCATCTGTTAGTACCATTTCTGTTTCTTACAATTTGACAGGTACCCCTGAGGAGACTGAGTGGTAGACTGACTTGTTTGCAGGAAGTCAGATTTAATCTCTAGAACGGAAAAGCTTTGTTTTGTGTATTGTTATGTGTAATTGTTTTTGAAATGTACACACACACACACACACACACACAGTCGTAAATATATAAACACAACCTTTTCAGTCCATATAATGCTACTTGTATGTATCCAATTGAGGGACTCCCGCTCAGGGAGACTACCCTCCCCCCAGCATTTCTTAGTTGCCTATTGCGGCCTCCTGTAGAGCAGAGATGCCCTTGAGATTTCCTGCATCCTTGTTAGCGTGTTTATTGGTATCATCCTTGTGTAGGTCTTGCTTAGGCTTCCAAGTCGATGAGACTTGGGCATAGTCTTTCTGATGTTTCTAGGAGGTTCAAACTGACAGCGAACTTTCTGCTCCTTTGGCTCTCTGCGTTATCTTTAGAATTTGAAGTGTTTGCGGTTGACTTATGTCAAGGGGTCCCATTCATAGTGACTGGGTACTTAGATACACTTTTCTGTGCCTCCCAAGTTAGTGAAGAATCCTTCAGGTGAAAAGAAATGGCAACACTGAAGTTTATCCCTGGCCGCTTTGAATGTTACCCCTGCAGCCAGTCTTACTTGCCCTGCAGAAATATAGGCCTGGGTTATTCTGTAACTACTACCACACTGCTAATTTAAAAAGAAACTTTTTTTTTTAAAAAAAGAAAAGATTCTTGGAATATAGTCATTGACAAAGTGGGGTAGTGGGGTTTTTTGTTTGTTTGTTTGTTTTCTTTTTTTCTTTTCTTTTTTTTCAAATTCTTGGTTTCTGGCATTGTTTTCTTGGCTTTCAGAATGGCTTTGGCCTTTTTTGTTTGCTTGTTTTTTGTTTTGCTTTGAGACAGGGTTTCTCTGTAGCTTTGGAGCCTGTCCTGGAACTCTCTCTGTAGACCAGACTAGCCTTGAACTCACAGAGATCACCCTACTCTGCCAACCCAGTGCTGGTATTAAAGGCATGCACCATCATCACACACCCTACTCTGCCAACCCAGTGCTGGTATTAAAGGCATGCACCATCACTGCCTGGCTAGCCTTGGCATTTGAAAGAACCTTGGCCTAATACACTAAACTCCTCAGTGTGACGAAAAACGAAACTGTTCTCTGTTCTATGTAAGTCCATCCTGTGTTTTGAGAACATACAGAATAGTTTGAGTGATGGGCAACTTTGATCCTGTATGTTAAGGCCTCCTCCATTTTTTTCTAGTTAATATTAAGTTCATGTCTCGGCAAGTTGTTTTTTTTTTTTCTCTAAAGGTAGAAGAAGACTTCTTTGTTTCCCGAAACTCTAACCTTCAACACAAACATTTCAAGTTTTGCTGTAGAGAACCATGGCGACTAGACTCTCTGAGACTTACTCCTGGGATTCTGACCAAGTCAAAGTGGAACCCAGTAGTCCAGACGTTGCACCAAAGTGGGGCTGGCCCACATTATCAGCCTTACCCTGGAGCTTGGACTGTGAGAATCTCTGGTCCTACTTGAGGCCTGTTGAATCAGGATCTGAATTGTAGCATGACCTTAGGTAGATCTACACATTTACGGCTGAAACGTAATGGAGTCGTGACAAGAGCGGGGTCAGGGCTTTATTCTGGACCTTGTGACATTTATGACTGTCTGTGCGTGGTAATTCTATAATCCACCTTGTCTTAGATGAAGACCTCCGGGTCTAGGAGCCTTGTGACTCGATGGAGCACCTAGGCTCTGGCATTCTGAGGCACAGGCTGCTGTCTGAACTTACGACTGAGCTTGGTGGACTGGGCTTTCCCCATAGGCCGCTGAAACACTAATCTGGTGAGGTCTGGGCCATTTGTGATTGGTTCCTTATCTGCTGCTGTTGAGGTTTTCACTCAGGGAAGGTTTGGTGTGTAAGCAGTGTTGGAAGGGAAGTGGAGCACTTGGCTGTGTTGATACATTCAGCCTCCTTAGGAACCCGTTTTCCCCCTCTCAGAAGTTAAGGTGCAGTAACTTAGCAGGCTTAGAGAATGGGGGGCTGCAGAGGCTAACTGAACCTCTTCTTCTCCCCAGGGATATGTGGTACACAGCCTACACTGTAGAGAATTGCCTTCCACAGAACCCAGTGGCACCATGAAGTCCAACCCTGCCATCCAAGCTGCCATTGACCTCACGGCAGGGGCCGCAGGTAAGCCTCACCTGCCCTCACCCTGGGTGCCCAGATTCCTTAAGTAGTTCCTCAGAGTGGGTTGGAAGTTGTTATCTCATGGGTAATATGAATCAGTTTAATGGGAATGTGATTTTGTTCAGAGTGTGGCAGCAAGTACATACACAGTAGTGTTTAATTTTATTAAAGCTTTACCAGACAATGAAGGATGTCCCTGGTATTGGCAGAAAACATCTTAGTTCCAAAATGAACTAACTCAACATGCTAGAACAGGCAAGTGGCAGTGGGTCCCTGCTGGGCAGGCTTCAGATGTTTTGTAGGACAAAATGCAAGTTACTTTTCTTTTTTAATATCTGCTTTATTTTTATTCGTGTGTGTGTGTGTGTGTGTGTGTATGTGTGTGCGTGTGTGTGTGTGCACGCCTGTGTGAGCATCTGCCCAGGTGAACAGGTGCCTGAGGTGACTGGAAAAGTGACCCCATCCCCCCAGAGTTGAAGTCGTAGGCAGTTGTGGGCCCCCCATGTGGGTGCTGGGAACCAAAGCAGTCACCCTAGAAATACAGTAAGCCCTCTTAACCACTGAGCCATTTCTCCAGCTCCCATTACTGTTCTCGGTGACAGGAACGAAAGGAAGGTCTCTAGCAATGAGGTTGACAGTCCTCAGTGTCTCCTGGTGGGGAAGGGAAGGTGATGCAGAACTTTTGAGAATGGGTGGTTGAGGCTGACCCTTAGATCCTGAGCCTAAGGGCAGACTGGAGCCAGGGCTGGTGACATGAGGCCACTGTAAAGAGCCACCTTTGACATGCAGGCATAGGGAGAGGCTTAGGCTGGGGCAAAAAGAACTGGGAACCCGTGATAGTCATTTTGTTTCCAGAGTTCCGAGTCATCTTAGGGGCAGAGGGACACTGGAAAGCACATTTTTCCCAGAGGAACCTTTCATCTACCCTGCCCCCACACATATTAATTCTTGTAAATGGGAGGTAAGAGCGCCAGGTTGCTCCATGTTCTCTTACCCTGTATGACCTCTTGGGTCAGCAGATCAAGTGTGGTCAGGGGACTACCACCTCTCACTCTGTCCCTTTGTTCAGCTGTAAAAAAAATCCTTGTACAGAGAACAACTCTCTCTCTCTCTCCCCCTCCCCCTCAGCTCTTCCACCCCCCTTCAGGAATCAAAGGTCAAAGCTGGTTCAGAAGGAAGGCTGATAAGGATCCCCAGCCAAGGACATCTCTCCAGTCTAGGGACAAAGACTGTTCCAGTGTGGTGAGCAGGTCCAATAGCTAGCAAGGTTGTACCCCAGTGTGTTATTAACCACGGTGGGTCTTCAGGTCAGTCCCCCGTATTCTGTGGAAGAGAGGCTGGTTCCATCCCTTGGCTCCCATTCCCTCTTCGTCCTCATGGCATGCTGTGGAGATGCTGGCTGTAGGAGACAAACATCCGCCAGCTCTGGCTAGTGGCGAGCATCGCAGCTCTTGGTCTTCTGTAAGAAGGTGTGTAGTCGCTTGAGAATCTCAACTGCAGGCAGTCTCTGCTCTCCCGTCAGTCTGAGAGCAAGCAAGGCTTTCTAACAAATTTCCCTCTTCCCTGAGTGTGCATTCGGATATTTGAGTAGCACTTACAGGTTATAGTCTTTATGTAAATTACAACAGTATTGTTGGGAGCCTTGTATAGCCGAGGGTTGCCAGCAGGCCTTTTCTATTTAAAACAATGACAGCGTGTCCATATATTGACTTTAAATGGTTCTGCTGCCTGAGTCTGGGATCTGTCCCTGGGCTTGGGAACACAAGGCTATCTATCCCCAGAGCTGCTGGGTTTCTAGATTTCTGACTACAAGCTTCCTGGCAGGGGTAGGGGCTTTGGGGAACTGATCAGAGAAGATGCTCATTAGTGACCTAAGACTGTGTTCTAGTGTGAGGTACCTGGAGTGCAATCAGGAAGGAGCAGTCTTACTTTTGAGGGTCCCAAAGTTTAGTTGGTATAGCATGCCTTACAGAACTGGGGATCAGTATTCACTGCGTATGTAGAAAAACTAAGATCTTGGCTTGTTTTGTTGACACCTTTGCTTTAGTGTCTAGTAGGGCAGCAACCTTCTCTGAGGCCAGAGGTAGTTTGAACTCTTGGCTATCCTAACTCTCTGCACTGGCAAATTGCTAGGTTTTGAGATTTTGTTTTTCCACTTGCGCAGAGAACCCCTTGTTCCATGACCACCCCCTCATTGGTCAGGTGGTTTAGCTGTAAGAACAGAGCCGGCTGTGATCAAGGGTCATGATGAGATGTAAACCAATTCTTTGTCTCCTTCTGATTTTAAGCAAAGCTGCTCCCACCAGACAAGTTTCCCACCCATTGCTATTAAAGTGCCAGGCAGCCATCTTTGCCCTGTGCTTGCTGTAGGCAAGGTCTCAGGAAAGGATGCTGGGCAGCTGGGATGAGTGTCAAAGCAGAGTTAGAGCGTTGGCTAGTTACCAGAACAGGCAGTGTGTTTTACAAAAGCGAGCCACGGGAGTCTGGAGACTGCGTGGAGCTAGTTTAATATCTGTCTTACAGCAGGGGAAAATCGTCCCTGGCGGTCCTTGCAGGGTGCCTCATTCACTGGCTGGAAAGTGAATTTTAGTGAAGGAATTTTAGTTTATCTTCTCAGTGTCAAAATGACAAGCACCCCAAAAACCATTTTGAAGGGATATCTTAATGTCCTGCTTCCCAGTCCTGTCAAGCGGCACTGCCGCCGACTAGGGGGTTGGGGTTTACCTGTATGTCCTGCTGTAAGTTGTCCCTTCCTTGATAAATGGCCTCAGTGGCTTGTGATTGCTGCTTGTGTATGTAAAGCAGACAGTCCGTAGGCAGAGTCTTTGTGGCTATGATAAAAATATCTAAGGAAGGGAGGGGAGAGGAGGCCAACCTAAGGGAGGGCATTCATTTTGGCTGGCAGTTTCAGGTGTTTTATTCCCTCCTGGGGTGTGTGTGCGGGGGGGGGGGGTGGGGGGGGATGGCAGACCAGAGAAGTTCAGATCTTGGCAGCCAGAAAGCACACACATCTATACTATAAATACACCCACACCCATGGCGGGGGCAGGGGGAGAAAGCACACACATCTATACTATACATACACCCACACCCATGGCGGGGCAGGGGGAGGGGGAGAAAGCAGAGAGAGAAGTGGGGGGGACCCGACTCTGCTCTTGTCCCTTTTCTTTCTACTCTTCATTTGCATGGCATCTGGACACCAGACAGTGAGGTGCTTCAGAGTGGTCTTTCTTCCTTAGTTAATGCTCTCAGGAAACTGACAGGTACCCAGAGGTCTGCTTTATTGGTCTCTTAGATGCCTCTCAAAGCAGTCAAACCGACAGTCAGAATTACCCACCACAGTGACTATTGGTGAAATATTGAGCATGCTCTGGTCTCGGTACCTCTCCTGGAGAGCAAATGGAGAGCTGCCTGTGGTAGCCCCTGAAGACAGAGGCTCTTTCGTTTGTCCTTGAAGGAAGAGAGAATGGTCAGAAATGGAATTTCTACGCCACGTGGAGAAACCCTGCAATATTCTCGGCATTACTGATGTATAAATCTGAGAGCCGACTTGGCACTGTGCTTGCCGGCTGGAGCTGGGGGTGGGCACTGGACTGAGTTCTGTGGTGAGCATCGTTGGGACTTAGGTCCACTTTCATGAGGAGACGAAGCTGCCAGCTACATTATATTATAGCATTCAGCTTCCTTCCTTCTGGAACAGACACAGAATCGTCACGGAAATGCAGCAAATGTCTGTCGTAGTAACTGCTGTCTGTCCGCACATTCAGGCGGAGCGTTAACATGCAAGTGGTTCGGTTGGAAGGTTAATGTGCTGAACTACTGGCTTCACTCAGTTTATCCAAAATGGGCACTCTAAAAGTCCTAACAGTCACCGGCTGCTCTGGAATAATTCAGTGATTTTGCTATGTTTGGGACCACATAATCTAGCCCAGCAGTATGCAGGAGAGCAGTATAGGAAAATCATCTTGATGTGTTGTTGTTGCTCTGTTCTCACTGACTAGCACAGGCTAGCCCGGGACTCTGAGTCCTCCTGCTTCCACCTCCTGGGTCGTGGCACACACTAACACCTTGCTGAGTGATCTTCCAGTAGTTCAGAATTCTCGATAATCAGGTGACACTCTGTGGTTACTCCCCTGGAAGAAGCAAACAGTAGCAAGAAAATCACAGAAAACAATTCTCTGATCCCTTGATGTTAACCTTGTCTACCAGTAAATAAATAACGTTGTCCTCACTGCCCTCTGTCACCACTTCCACAGCACGGGTGGAATGGTGATGTGTGATATCTGGGTTGTTAAAATTGCATTTCTTAACTATTCTGTGTAAGCCTTCTATTTTGATGGTGTGTTAGTGGCCTCATCACATAGCTGCCTTGTTTCCTGACCTAAGCAGGGGATGCCAGGAATGTGGGGCCTTCTGAGCCTCGTGAGGGAGGTAAATATTAACCAGCGGCATGTCCTAAAACTTTGGTCCTAGTCCAGGGTCTACAGACATTATGGGCAATCCCAGTTTGTTCTTATCCCTGTGCTCAGAGTTCTCACTGAGGTGATCTAGTGCAATTTAGACTTAAGTGCATTAGATATTCTTACAGCAAGAAAGCAAATGCAAGGCAGACTTGGGGCCAGTGATTCCTACTAAGCAAAGGTAATTGTAGTCTGTTCCCTGCGTACAGATTATTAATTGATAGATCTCAAATTAAAGCGCTCTTTTCAGGGTCAAGTGCTTTGCCCTCGAGATTAATTAGCAGGCGTCTTGTTTTCCTTATCTGCTCTTGGCCCTGATGTTTTTCTTCTCATAGTCATCATACAGTCGGGCCCTAGACAAGGAGAAATGCTTGTCTCTACCTCCTTCCCACTGTCCCGCCCACTGTCCCTGCTGCATGCATCGCTCCTCCCTCATGTCTGTAGTGGCTGCTGGCTAGTAACCGCTTGTGTGTCAGTTCTGTGCCAAGTTAACACTCTGAGATGGTGTTGATGAAGAATGGAGGTTCACAGATGTTCTGGGGTGGCACAGTAAGACGGGTTCCAGCCCATCTCTGCCCACTACCTGGGTGAGCCCCGCTAAACATAGACCATGTCTTGTACTCAGGACTTGGAATGTAGACACCAAAGACCTGCCCTGTAAGTGTAACTCCCTTTAGGATGAGCCTCTGGTGCTGACCAGCATAGGCACCTGCCAGAAGTTGTACTGAACTTGGCTAGGGGATTTGGGAAAGGCAGTCAGTCATTAGGAACTGAGATACTGGTAAACCATGGGCAGCAAGGTACTGTCCTTTTGTGTGTGGCTGTAGGCCCATTCTAAAGACTCGTGTTCTACCTCTAGGGGGCACAGCATGTGTACTGACTGGGCAGCCCTTCGACACCATGAAGGTGAAGATGCAGACGTTTCCAGGCCTCTACCGAGGCCTCACCGACTGTTGCCTGAAGACCTACTCCCAGGTGGGCTTCCGTGGCTTCTACAAGGGTACCAGTCCTGCCCTGATTGCCAATATTGCGGAAAACTCGGTGCTCTTCATGTGCTACGGCTTCTGCCAGCAGGTGGTCCGCAAAGTGGTTGGACTGGACAGGCAGGCAAAGCTGAGGTGAGTCGGGACACTGGCACTTGGTTTTTATATAAGTAAACACTTAATTTTTAATTTTAATGACACTTAGAGGAAAGACGTTTCCCTTTTTAAAAATGATTCTGATGTTCTACACTGTCTGGTGTAACCAGAGAAGGCCAAATGGATCATATCGAGAGTCCACTGTGTGCTTTGGTCCCTATGGGAAGATACTGGACAAAAACTGTAGAACATGGGACTGAAGCTTATGGAGAGAATTGGAAAGGTACCTGAGCAATGCTGGACAAGGAATGTGGAGTGTAGGCAGTACAGATGGACCCGAACCCTCCTACACGTCAGACTCCATTTGTGCTTGATCTTCGCTAGATACCTATCGTTCAGAGACCAGACACAATTCCTAAGCCACAGGGATGCTCCGTTGTCCTTCCTTGAAATATTGATTTATTTGAAATGGTTTAAAATCATATTGGGGGAGACAGGGCTCAGGGAAAAGCTTAATTACTAAAGTGCTTGCAGGGCACTGAGTTAGATCCTTACCACCCACACAGAAAAAGCTGCACATGGTGTGTGCTTATAATCCCAATACTGGGAAGGCAGAGGTAGAAGGAGATCTGGGGCCCTAGGTCCCAGGGAGATCATTTCTCAAAACACAAAGGTATAGCTCCTGAGAAACCCATACACACATGTACACCTTCATACATATACATACAATAAAATCATATGTCTTTTTTTATACACACACACACACACACGCACATGTTGATACTTGCAAAGGGCAGGCTTGCTGACTATCAGTAGGAATCAGACTCTACTGTAGCCACAGGCTGAACACAACTGAAGTAGATTCCTTGTACTTGTATGTTCTGGCAATATCAACAAGATTCAGATGTGCTATTTTATTGACAAAAATTTGATCATGATGGTAGAAGTTATGTTTAAAAACTGGGGACTGGATAGACAGCCCAAGGAGACCATGCAGGATAGAGGAAGGCTGAACGTAATTCTCTAAGACCTCCAGCTAAGGGAGGGCAGGAAGCAGAGGCCAAGAGATTAGTATCCCACAGGGAGACCAGGCAAGCAAAGCAGTAGGCAACTGGCTCTCTGGCAGCTTCATTAGTGAAGGACCACATGGGAGAGGGGCCAAAACTGCAGTGGGTACCCAGAGAAGGTTCTGCTAGAAGACTCCGTGCTCCACTTTGGGCAAGGCAACCTTTGACTGCAGGACAGAAATGGTGATGGAAGCAAACCTGGTTCTGGCCCTAGGTGTTCCTCCCCTCTTCCCCTGCTTCTGAGACTGGTTTGAGCACTACCTTGAGACATGGTCCCGCTGTGTAGCCTTGACTGGCCTGAAGCTCACCGTCCACCAGCCTCAGCCTCCTGCACAGGGATGACAGGTGGGCATTACTACTGTTCACTTAATCTTTTCTGATGATGAACAGTAATGCTGTACAGCCGTGTTCCTCCACACCCTCTCCAGAGCAAGAGGTAATGTCACTGAGAAAGGGTTGGGAAAGGCCTCACTGTTTCTTGTGTGGAGCTTTGAGGACATTTATTTCATGTGATATCCACGGTGTGTAGCTTTTTACCACACAAGTTCTTCAATGTGGAAATCAGCATGGTTAACACGCTCAAACACAGCACTAATCTTTGCTGAGCTTAGAGTCTTTCCCCTTTTCCCTCTTAGGAGATGTTTTGCTTGTTACCTGCTGAGAGAACGCTGCCTACAATCTGCTGTACTCTGACATGTAGGTCGTGTCTTTTGTTTTATTTTGTTTGGAGACAGGGTTTCTCAGTGCCTTTGGAGCCTGTCCTGGAACTAGCTTTTGTAGACCAAGCTGGCCTCAAACTCTCAGAGATCCGCCTTCCTCTACCTCCCGAGTGCTAGGATTAAAGGCGTGGGCCACCACCACCTGGCTGTAGGTTGTGTCAGGTTGTGTCTTTATGGCCCTTACCATGACCGTGTGGAGTTGCTGTCATTTCTGTCTTTCAAATAGAGAAATAGTCATAGCTGCTGGGCCAAGGACGGTGTCATCTGAGCTCACTGTTCCCCTTCCACTCAGACCTCTTTCTGTTAGACCAGCAAGGATGCTGGTCAGAGCTAGAGAGCATTTGTCAACTGTGGCCAAGGGAAACCGTTAAAGCAAGCATGTGCTGTGGATGTCTGCAACCCCATCACAAATATTTGTGTGTCCTGGTTTGAACCTGACGTGGTGTTCTACTTTGACCTTTGGTTGAATGAGATCTTACGCAGCAGAGGCATTTAGGTCAAACAGAGGATTCTTTCTTTTTTGTGTGTGTGAGGGAAATTTCATACAATATATTTTGATCATATTTCCCCTCCCCAACTCCCCTAGATCCTCCACACCAACTTTGTTTTTTATCTCTTGAAAATAAATAAGAAAACAAGAAGCATACATAACACGCCAAAACATCAAAATGGAAGTCAAAATGAACAGACAGACCAGTAAGGCAAAAATACCCAAACAGCAAAATGAGACAGAGTCTACAGTCGATGCTTACAAAACCCTGTCCTACACTCTCCGCACTTTCAATTCCAGTTGTTTGTGTTTTTCCTACATGTAGAGCTGAAGGTCTGTGTGCAGAATTTTGTGCACCGGAAAGTACTTATGTGGAATGCAAAGTCTGTGGGCACGCTGACTTGGCCTCTCCCTTGTACTCTTTTTTTTTTTTTTTAAATAATTTATTTTATGTATGTTGGTGTTTTGCCTGTGTGTATGTCTGTGTGAGGGTGTAGGGCCCCCTGGAACTGGAATTACAGCCAGTTGTGAGCTGCCACGTGAGTGCTGGGAATTGAACCTGGGTCCTCTGGAAGGGCAGCCAGTGCTCTTGCCTACTAAGCCATCTCTCCAGCCTCCTCCCTTGTACTCTTACAATGTTTAAGGTTCATTCAGGTTCTGGAACCGTCCCAACACCTGAGGTTGAATTGACTTCCATGTCTGCTGACTGATCCCTTCGTTCTAGCAAACCAGACACAATCTAGGTAATGACCCTCATGGGCAGCTAGTGGCCTGTCAGCAGACTGAGGAAGGCCGAGTGTAGCCCTGGAGGCCGACCAAAAGACTATCTGAAGCTAGGCTTTCAACAAAGAACTAAGGAGTGGTGGGAAGAGTGAACTAAGCAGTACGAACCTCTTGCTCTACACACAGGATGTTGGTACACTTGGTTGGTTAGGTCGTGGTGGTAGGCTTAATTTCTCTAAGATCAAAAGAAGTCCACCCAGCAAAACAGTCCTCTTCGAACAGCCCCATGGTAAGCCTGCTGCCTGAGTCCTGGGTGTTTGAGAGACCAGCTCAGCCTGTGCACAGCAGCTACTGTCTGATGCACGGGGTCAGTATATCTGCAGACCTTTGTGTGTCCCGCCTGGTTTCTGTCCTGCCTGCAGGTCCCCACAGTTGCTTATGAACTAATCATTCAGAAGCTTAATATTAAGTATAATTGCTTGACCAATAGCTTAGGCTTCTTGCTGATTAACTCTTACTTATAAATTAACCCATTTCTAATAATCTGAATTGCCATGTGCCGTGTGGCTTACCTGTAGGCATCTTACTCCTCCAGCCACTGGCATCTTCCCGACTCTGCCTTCTTTCGCCTTGTGTCTCTGTTTAGATTTTCTGCCTAACTATATTCTGTCCTGCCGTAGGCTAAAGCAGCTTCTTTAAATATTAACCAGTGATAATAAAACATTCACAGCAGAAGAGGAGCATCCAACATCAGGCAAGATTACAGAAATCCAGGGCCAAAGCTGGAAGCAAAAAAAGAACCTTGTTTAGTTTATAATAGTCTGGGGGTACAAGAGCATGGGGCTGGTGTCTGCTTGCTTCTTCTAGGGTGTCTTCTGGCTGTATGACAGTACTGTAGATGGAATCGTCATGGGAATGTACAGAGAGGTCACCAGATACTACAGGAAGCTCTACTCTTGTGGGCATTCACTGCAGCCTGTGAGAAGTGTATTCATCCCCTCTAAGGATGGCAGTACCCTAGGCGCCACATTTATTTTATAATTGAAACTTTTTTTCATACAATATATTTTGATCATGTTTTCCCCCTCTCCCAATTCTTCCCATATCCCCTCTACCTCTCTACCCACCAGACTTTATATTCACTCTCTCCCTCTCCCTCTAAAACAAAACCAAAACAAATAAAACAAACACATATAAAAAACCTCACAAAAATGGAAGTCACAATAAACAAACAAACGGCCAATGAGGCAGAAAAAAAAGTGCAAACAAAGCAAGCTGAAACAGAAAGTCTACAAAATGCCACTGAGTTGAGTTTTGTTGCCCATCTACTTTGGGGAAGTGTGGCGAACGTACCCATTGAGATTCTGCTGGAGAAAACTAATCTTCCTTTGGTATCAGTGTAAGGTAGCTGGTTAGGGGCAGGAGCCTGGGTCCACTTCTCCTTTCTCAGTGCAGGGCCCCATCTGACTGGAGCCTGTGCAAGTCTTACGCATGCTTCCCTAGTCTCTGAGTTATGTGTGCATCAGGCTGCTGTTGTCTGGAAGACACTGTTGCCATGGAGACATCCATTCTCTCCAGCTCTCACAGTCCCTCCACCTTTTCCACATAGATCCTGAGCCACAAGGAGAAGGGTTTGATGAAGACATCCCATCAGACTGAGTGCTCCCATAGTCTCTCACTCCGCACTTTGTCCCATTTTAGGGGGTAAAGAAGCTTCCCTGATGAGCGCTGAGTGAGGCACTGTTCAATGAATATTCCTAAGGATATGCCATCAGGAATCATTTCATTACTAAGTTCCTTTAGTAGAATTACAGTTACAGGTTTTCCCCTAAGCCAGTGGCCTGTCTCAGACCTATCCTGGTCTCAGGTTCTTGGCCACGTTAGCTGTGTCAGGAATGGGTTTCCAACTCATGGAGTAGGCCTTAGGTCCGCTCAGAAAGTGGTTGATTATTTCCTTAGCATTTATGCTGCTATTGCACCAGTATTGCAAGGAAGTCACTGTTGGTCGCAGGGTTTGTAGTAGGGAGGTATTGATGACCGAGTTTCTCCTCTAGATGCAAGAGTACCTTCCAGTGCCATGAATGCTAGTCAGAGGTGAAGCTTCTAGGTAGGTACCAGCTTGACTTCTCTGTGTCTGGAATACGTAAATGTTGTCTTCAGCAGTAGGGCTTTATCAGTCAAGTTGTGAAGAGTAACCAGTAATGTTGGCAATAACCTGTGATGTTTGGGTGTTTTCATGGGCAGGCCCTGTAACATGAGGGCCGGCTTGTTGGGGTTTCTGTCCCGCCCGGTACCCCACAGCCAGCAACTCCCAAGGAAAATCACACATAAGACTCCATAAGATTATAAACTGATTGGCCCATTAGGTCAGGCTTCTTATTAACTCTTACAGCTTATATTAACCCATTATTCTGATCTATGTTAGACACACGGCTCAGTACCTTTCTCAGTGTGACAGCTCACATGTTGCTTCTTCGGTGATCTGGGCAGAAGTGGTGGAGGGAACTTCCTCCTCCCTAGCCTTATCCTACTCTCATTGCCCCGCCTCTACTTCCTGTCTGGTTGACCCGCCTATACTTCCTGCCTGGCCAATCAGCGTTTTATTAAAATACATGATTGACAGAATATAGACAATTCTCCCACACCAAGGCCCCAACTCTTAAGTGTCCCATCACCTCAACAATAAGACATGAAGGACTGAGCTTCCATCACACAAACAGTTGGGTAACATACACAAACTGTATCAAATCTTTTTTTTTTAATGTGGGAGTTTTATTGAGATAAAGGGAGTGGGAGAGGGAAGAAAGAAAGAAATAGAGAAAGAAGAAAAAGCAGCAAGGACCCACCTTTCTCTTCAGAAGAGCAGTGGGGAAGAGAACCATATCAAATCTTATGAGAGGACATAGCTGAATTGGTAAATCTTTGTGATCACAAAAATGTAGCCTGGTTTTTATCTGTAGTGGTTACATGTCTGGTTACTCCAGGTTGGATTCGGAGCCAGAAGGAATAGTGTCACAAATGCACCAAGGTATTAATAGACTGTATTTGGGAGGTAGGACTGTAGGTGATTTCCCCGTTTCCTATGGTCCTTCCTTTTATTCTTTCTTTTTTGTTTCTTTATGTGCCTTAGCTTGGGCTACTAAACAAAATACTATCCATTAGGAAGCTTAAACATTTCTTGTTGTGGAGGCTATATCACATGATAAAGATCTCATTCTCAGAAACAAATCTATTCCTAATTGCCTTTTTTTGTTGTTGTTCTGTTCTGTTTTGTTTTTTGAGACGGTTTCTCTGTGAAACTGTCCTACCTATCCTGGAACTTGTTCTGTTGACCAGGGTGGTCTTGAACACTCGGAGTTTTGCCACCTCTGCCTTGAGTGCTGGAATTAAAGGCGTGTGCCACTGCCACCTGTCCTAATTGCCTCTTAAGAACCCTTGCTTTAAATACTACTACACATGAATTGAGGGGATGCGGTCATATGCATGGATGTAGCAATCAGGCAGACTGAGTTTGATTCCTAGCACTCCACTTTCTAGATGTACGGCTCTGGGGACATGTCTTACCTCTGTGCCATTCCCGATGAAGCTGGAGTACTGCTGTCTGCTCCAGGGTCTCAGGATTCGTAGATGGGACAGCACACGTAGGTTCGGTTCTCCCATCCTTTGCTCTTCTGTGGAGTCAGTGCCGGAGGGACAGATAAGCTGATGCTCCTCCTTTCATCCTTGCAGTGACCTCCAGAACGCAGCTGCTGGTTCCTTTGCCTCTGCCTTTGCCGCACTGGTCCTCTGCCCCACAGAGCTTGTGAAGTGCCGGCTCCAGGCCATGTATGAAATGGAATCATCGGGAAAGATAGCTGCAAGCCAGAAGTAAGCACTGTTCGTTCACAGACACTCGGTATTTTCTGGGTGCACTGTGTTTGTTTTATGTTGTTAAAATTAAGCACCAAGTGTAGAAACAGTTTTCCCTGTTCTATTCTTTGTTGGGATAATTTCCCGAAAGACTGTTTATTATGTTTAGGACACACTCCCTATCCTAGAGAGCGTGTCTTAGGCAGTTATTTAATAGTGCAGAAATGGAGACACCAAGGAGCCGAATGTCCCTTTGTCCTCCTGACTGCATAAGGTGTGATCCTCCACCGTTTTTGGGAGACAGCTTTGAACTGGGTCTGAGAGTTGAGCTAAGTGGATTTGGATTCTGAGGTGAACGTTTCCTGCCCTTTCTCAAATTTCACACGAGTAGTCAGTCTTTTTGCCACAATTTAGTGGCAACTCCCACCCTTCCTAAACCTTCACATGTCCTTCCTAAGGGTCCAGGTTCTGAGAACATTCATCAAGGCCTGCGTAAGTAGAGCTGCTTTCTATAGTCAGCTTAGGCATGGAAGCGGCTGTCCACCCCCGTGAGAATATATATGCCACACGTGTCTAGAATTGAAAAACAATTATCCTTATTAATCACAAAATGGTGTCTCCTGACGTGTGGCTGGTTGAAGCTCTAGTCAAAGGTGTTGCTGTCACCCAAGGTCTGTAAACCTTCTGGGGAACCAGTCAAGAGATTGACCAGTTGTCTGTCAGTTTCCTCCCCGATCTGCATGGCCTAGGAGTCTGCCTAATGCTTTAAAGCAGTGGTTCTCAACCTGAGGGCCGTGACCCCCGGGGTCGAATGATCTTTTCGCATGCTCACATTATGATTCATAACAGTAACAAAATTACAGTTATGGGCTAGCAATGGAATAATCTTATGGTTGGGGGGGTCACCACAACATGAGGAGCTGTTTTAAAGGGCCACCGAATTAGGAAGGTTGAGAATCACTGCTTTAAAAGGTGACTTCTGAACTAGAACCCACCGATGGTACTGTTAGTGCATACAGATCACAAGCGGACAGTTCTGTCCACAGTCACAAAAATGAGTGGACCTTTGTAACCTGTGCTTAGAGTAACACGTAGAACATTAACGATACCGCCACACAGGCCTGGCTGCAGGCTTGCTGCCGCTCAGCGTTGAGCCGGAGTCATCTATTGTGTTCACATGTGCAGGGGGCAGTGCTGCAGGAACAAAGGTCTCAGGAGGAGGAGGATTGCTTACGGCCTTTGCCCCTCCAGGAGTTGAGGTGTCTCCCCTGCTCCCTAAGAACAAAGGGAACGATTTAGTGGTTACACTAATCATGTGACATTCTGCTTGTTCTCTGTGTTTAAAACCTGCCACAGGGCACACTGCGGTGGAGATGGGGGGCTAGGGTGTCTGGGCCTAAGCTATTCCAGGAGTAGGGCTCATCTGCTAAAGGGAGTTAGCTCCTCTGGACCCTGTGGCTGAGAGACTCGGTTCTAGGTATTCCCTGAATCCCAACGCCTGTATTGCTCAACCCTCAATCCTTGTCTTGCCTTCAAGTGATACTCATGTCTCTATACCACCTTAACAAATTATCCTAAGCACACAGTGATGGCCACTGTTGATTGCCAACATGGTGACGGGATCTAGATTCACCCAGGAGGCAAGTATCTGGGCACACCTTTATTCAGTCAGCTGAGGTAGGAAGACCCACCTAAAAAGTGGTGGCAGTATGACCCGAGCCTGGGTCCTAGCCTGCATAGCAGGACGAAGTCAGCTGGGCCCTAGCACTCATTGTCTCTGCCCCCCGATGTCAGGTGCGCTGTGATCAGCTGCCCCAGGCTCCTGCCGCACCACTCTGCCCCCACCATGGGCTGTACCCTGAACTGTGAGCCAAAAACAAGCCCTTTCTCCCTTCAGTTTTCATGATGTAACAAGTAAGAATACACCAACAAGCTGAAGAGGGGGCATCAGGGGTAAGGCTTTAAGCAAGTATAGTATTGTTAGCTGTTTCAAAGCTTGCATGGATCCTTATTGTAATTCATTTTTACTTATGTTGAAAAAACAGGAAGTAACCCGTTTACATCTCAGGCAGTATAGCTTACAGAAGTGTACACCCACTAGTTAGCAGGCCTGGTTAGGCACAAGTAAGGAAGCAGCTGGTGTGGGCAGGTCACAGAAAACACAGCTAGAGCAAAGCTGGTCACGTAAGTCCTCCTTGGAAAGGACCTCTGATTGCATGCACACATCTCCCCACCTGCACTGACTGCCTCCTGCTTTGTCTCCCCCAGCACAGTTTGGTCAGTTGTGAAGGAAATCTTTAGGAAGGACGGCCCCTTGGGCTTCTACCACGGACTCTCAAGCACTTTACTTCGAGAAGTACCAGGCTACTTCTTGTTCTTCGGTGGCTATGAATTGAGCAGATCGTTTTTCGCATCAGGGAAATCAAAAGATGAACTAGGTAAATGTATTCACATTGATGACATTTGGGTTTAGTAGAGTCAGCCTCCTGGGTTTCTTGGTTTCCACGGGGTATGTGTTCAGTGTGCACCTTCCCGGGAGTCCACCCAGCACTGGGGAGTTCCTGGACGCTAGAAAGTAATGGCAGGTGCTGGCTAGCATCCTCTCCTGAGGGAAGTTTCCTAAAGAGAGGCCCTGAATGAAGCCTTATGTTCCAAACTTCTTCACCACATTAGCATTGTTAGAGGCGCCGCTTCCCTTCTGGGTGACACTAACTGTTCTGAGTCCATTAGAGGAAGAAATGGTTGTCACTAGCAATAATCTCGCAATAAGCTTTAGAAACTCATTTTCTTTTTTAATTAATTAATTAATTGCCTGTCATTGCAATTACAAATTAAGACTGTCTGCCAGACCCTGGCTCTGACATCAAATCACAAATAAGTTTGTTTCCCAAACATTATTTTCTCATTATCCATTAAAACCCACTCAAGACTGTCTGGGCCCGTGGATCCTGGGAGGCGTGGAGTTTTTAACTGCTGACTCCAGGCACGGGCCACGGCTGAGGGAGGGCTTGTGTCAAGCTGAGCTGGCAGCAGGCAGCCAAGCTGGGAGATGGGGGGGAGGGTGAGGGGGTGGTTCTAAAACCAAACGTTCGGCGCCAGATAATGTGTGAAATAATCCCACACCAGTTTGAACTTATTATTAAAAAGGTTATTTATTTGAGGGAAAAAAACCTACAGAACACTGTCCTACATGACAGCCAGGAAAGGAGTCTAGTTGTTCAGAACCGGAGTCCGGAGCAAGAGAGCAAGAGGAGGGCTGCTGCTGCTTTTTAAAGAGAAAGAGACCCTGCCCCAGTGGGCTGGTATCTCAACGGCTATTGGCTGAAGGAGCAGAAGGAGCTCCCACAGCACTTATCAGTATCATAAATGGAAACAATCCCAGTTGCACCTGCTTAATGCACATTTTAAAAATGTGCTAACAAATCACCATGTTGTTTCAGGAATGTACAAAGATTTTTATTTTTTCCTTTTTGGTCACAATAGAGAGAGATTTGGGCTGTTGGGTTAAAGTTGAAAAAGACATGGACTCTATTTCTGTTATATGGGACCTGCTGGCTGTGGGTGGGTCAACCCCAACTGGAGGACGAGGTTGGGGGGTGGGGACTCAATACCTGAATGTGCAGCTGGTCTTGATGAGGCCCAGGGATATTCCAACTTCTTAGTCAGAACCTGGAACATTTTGTTTGTTTGTTTTTGTTGTTTTTTGTTTTAAAGATTTATTTATTTATTATGTGTACATCGTTCCTTCCATTTGTGGCCGCATGCCAGAAGGGGGCACCAGGTCTTCATTATAGATGGCTGTGAGCCACCATGTGGTTGCTGGGATTTGAACTCAGGGAGTCTCGAAGAGCAGTCAGTGCTCTTAACCACTAAGTCATATCTCTCCAGCCCCCTGGAACGTTTTTTAAGGAGTTAATTGTTCCATGTGCTTCTGGAAATGCTACCTAAAACGAAGTACCACTGGCTGCTTTCCCTTCCTAGGTCCTGTCCCGTTGATGCTAAGTGGTGGATTTGGTGGAGTTTGCCTATGGCTTGCCGTCTATCCAGTGGACTGTATCAAATCTAGAATTCAAGTTCTTTCTATGACTGGAAAGCAGACGGGGTTAGTCAGAACCTTCCTGAGTATCGTGAAGAACGAAGGTGAGGCTGGGGTGTGTGCACAGTGGTTGATCACTTTGAAGTGTGTGCATGCATAATTAGACCTGTGACTTCTCTCTGGCCTCGTCCTTTCCTGACGCTGCTTTCTATCGCCAAACCTTTGCTTTAGCTTAGTTTCATTGTTCTCAGAAATGTTTAAAGTTCTTCTTCCTATCTTCTGGACCAGGTATCTGGCAGGAGTCTTTGTATTCTAAATTCCTTGGGGATTTTTAAGATGCAAACGTTTGTCTCGAGGGTGCTGTGAAGTGAGCAGCATCACCTCATTTATGGAATCCAAATATGAAAAGTCCAACAGGACCACTACAGAGTGAGTTCCAGGACAGCCAGGGCTGTTTCACAAAGAACCCTGTTTTTAAATATAATATTGAATATATTACATTCTTAATACATTACACTTAAAAGAATGCAGTACAACTTCTTTAACCATAAGACTTCTGGAACAAGAAATGATCTGAGCAGCCCCTAGGGATGATTTGCTATCAGGTTTAGAGTTATGCAGAATACAGACTATAAGGCATGTTTGTATGACATCAACCCACCATATAGGCATCTTAAAACTAGGGTTATGAGAAGGCTTGAGTGGAGGAAAGGGAAAAGAAATGATTTATAATTGTAATCTAAAATTTTAAAATTATTTTTAGAGATAAAAATTTTAAAAGCAAAATAGATGAAGTCAAAATGTCATTATCTGCAAAACAAAAAGTACCTTGGGTTATGAACTGTGCTTTAGGTTTAAAGAGAGCACAGTGACACACACATGTTAAACTCACAGCCCGCATAGAGAGCACAGTGACACACACATGTTAAACTCAGAGCCCGCATAGAGAGCACAGTGACACACACATGTTAAACTCAGAGCCCGCATAGAGAGCACAGTGACACACACATGTTAAACTCACAGCCCGCATAGAGAGCAGGAGACACACACATGTTAAACTCACAGCCCGCATAGAGAGCAGGAGACACACACATGTTAAACTCAGAGCCTGCATAGAGAGCAGGAGACACAGACATGTTAAACTCAGAGCCCGCATAGAGAGCAGGAGACACAGACATGTTAAACTCAGAGCCTGCATAGAGAGCAGGAGACACAGACATGTTAACACTCACAGCCCACACAGAATGCAGGTGTCTTGTGTGTCCCCACTTCTCCTGTGTGCCTTCTCCGGTTTGGCCTGGTACACCCTAGTTCAGACCCTCATCTAGGTCTCCCCCATGACCATTCTGAGCAGGGTGACTACATCTCTGGTCCCTCTGGCTCGTCAGTTGCCTCCACCTGGCCGTGTTCGTCGTTAGCTCTGCTCTGTGCTTACTGGAGGAGTCCTCTAGGCAAAGCAGTTGGTTTGTTATTTGAGCATCAATCAGCTTTGCCAGGGGCCTTGCTACTTCCCTTGCTCCTGTAGTCTGAGAGCAAGTCCCTTCATCACAATGGTCTTAGTACTGTGCCTGAGTTTGTGGGCGCAGACAGTCTCCCTTGTGCAGTTGCACGTGTGTCCTTACGCAAGTGCTGTCACGATCTTTGATTGCCCTTTTGTCTTTCAGGAATAACAGCCTTGTATTCTGGACTGAAACCTACTATGCTTCGAGCCTTCCCTGCCAATGGGGCACTGTTTTTGGCCTATGAGTATAGCAGGAAGTTGATGATGAACCAATTGGAAGCATACTGAAGTGTCCTGGTGGGCCTGGATTCAAGGCAGGCCTTCAGCGACTGTTAACTCAGGGTTTCACAGAGTACAAGAACAATGTGGAATTGTTGATTAATTGGGACTTTTGTCCTTGTCTTCCCTTCTTCTGTTCAAAGTCTTAGACTTTGTGGAAGACCCTCTATTCTACACAGTATAATTTCTCCCCATTATTGTGCCAAAAGAAAAAGTCGCTGCTCTTGCCCTTGGAATGTGCAGGGCAGCTAGCTGGTGGCCTTATGCAGACTGTGTTCTTCTCAGGACAGAACTCCCGCAGAGGTCAGAGGTACACGTGCAATCTAGATGGATCTAAGTTGAGGAAAACACAGTTTTGTTCTCTGTCTAGTTGTAAATGGTGACCAATTTCTATGCAAATTGTTGTAAATGATTGCTTAACCCATCCTAGATGCAGGGCCAAAGGCCGCTGAGCCTGTGCACTAACAGGTTAAAGTTTTTAACTTTTTGTGGTACATCAAAGCTAAAACATCCATCTATATTTTTAGATGCATACTTGTGGCTTCTACATTCTTGATGAAATGTCAGGGTTGATATCCTGGATTTTTTTTTTCATGATGCTCAACTCATAACCTTGCCATTCATTCTCTAGGCGGGCTTATTATGCACTCTGGGGTTGGTGGGAGTGACCTGGAGTGTGACTCAGGAGACAAGGGATGCCCTGCCACGCCCTTAGGAAAACTGACAATGGCTTTTACCTGCTCTCAGCAGGAATCCAGGCTGCTCTTTTTTTCTTTTTTCTTTTCTTTTCTCTTGTTTGTTTGTTTTTTGAGACAGGGTTTCTTTGTAGCTTTGGAGCCTGTCCTGGAACTAGGTCTTGTAGACCAGGCTGGCTTCGAACTCACAGAGATCCACCTGCCTCTGCTTCCCAAGTGCTGGCTTTAAAGGCGTGCTCCTCTACTGCCCAGCCAGGCTGCTCTTTTGGTCCTGGATATGAAGCCACCCTAAACCCACTGTCTTTCTGCTCCACCAATCAAAGGTCCTTAAGGAAGCAGAGAAATCTGGGCTCCCTGCTTTCATCTCCAATCCTACTCACAGGAAAGTCCAGAGGTGCTCACTAGGCACCAGATTATAACCATGTCAGCCCTCACCCTCCTGAAGTTTACCTTGGGGCCTGGAACTCCTTGATTTGCCTCTTCATTTGGAGCTGAGAGTCAATGATTTTTTTTTTTTTTTTTTGAGACAGGGTTTCTCAATAGCTATGGAAGCCAGTCCTGGAACTCACTCTGTAGACCAGGCTGACCTCAAACTCAGATATCCGCCTGCCTTTGCCTCCTGAGTGCTGGGATTAAAGGCATGCACACCCAGCAATGACTAGATGATGTGTAGATTTGGAAAGCGTTGTGACATAATAAAGATATTTTTATTAAACTAGGTAGCATGTATGTAGCGACCAAAATCACACCGTCTGCAATACTCCAAGAGCAGAGGGGCTGTCGGTAGGATTTGTCCCTGCTCTGCCGGTAAAGGTGAAGGTGGTAGGTTTGCTAATGCCCCCTTGCCACAGTGCCAGGAGCACAATGTTGGGGAAGCAAAGTGTTCCCGGAAAGGGAGGGGTGCCTCTCAGCGCTCTCAGCGCTCTCAGCATCCCTGGGCTGGCTTTTTTGAGAAACCGCCTTTCTGCTTTAGTTCTCTCTGTTCGTGAATGACCAGTGGCCACTGAGTGGTGCTTCATCTGTCCAGGTCTGGATTGAAGTAAAATAGGATTGGCTTCCTGCAGGAAGAGGACTGGCCAAAGCCGTGGTCTTCCCTTTGGGTGCCTGGGTCTGTTATCCCTGTATGTCTTCTTGCAATCTGTCCATTAAAAGTTTGTGGCCTCTTGTATAGAAACAAGGGGAAGTGAAAAAAGAAAGCCCTAAGGAGAATTTTTATTATTATTATGGTTTAATGTTTGGGTACAATTGTATTTAAGACAAAACCAGAACTTGAGATAGTTTGTTTAAAGAAATGAGTACTTTATCATTATTAAATAAAACTAACATTGAGTCTATGGTGAGCTTCATTTAAATACATTTTATTTGTATTAAGGACCAATTTGCATTGGAACAAGTATTGTCTTGCCAGGAAGGTTTCCCGATGTAAAATAATTTTACTGTAGGCCAGTTGACAAATGTCATGAAACATCCAGCTAGATTGCTCCTGCCTTCTGCAAGTGTGGTGGTTTAAATGAGAACGGCCCCCATGGGGCTCATCTGTTTGAATGCTTAGTCCCCAGGGAGTGGAGCTCTTTACAGGATTAGAAGGATTAGGAAGTGTGGCCTTTCTGGAGGAAGGAAGGTCTCAGAAGCCCATGCCAGGCCCAGAGTCTCCCTGCTGTCTGTGAGTCAGGATGTGAAGCTCTCAGCTCCAGAGTCATGCCTGCTACATGGCACCTCATGCCTGTTACATGGCACCACGTTCCTGCTAGGATGATAACGGACTCACCCTTGGAAAATGTAAGCAAGCCCTCAAACTGTAATGTATATTGTATGTGTATTTCATATTAATGATAAATGCAAACAGATTCTAAAAGATTTTAAAGCCACATTACCATGACTGATGCATTGAAATGATGACTCAAAGATTTTTGTTTTGTTTCTGTAAGTTGAATTTAGCACAGCTGGCATAAACCTTGTCATAATACATGCATGGGACATTAGGCTGGATTACAATGTAGCCCTACCTGTTTTGTTCATATAAAAGCTGTATGAAACCAAAAGAAAAAAAAGGGCAGTGATCATAGTATTTAGGAAGATTCTTAAAAAGACATGGTTAAAGAAAAAGGTTAGTTTCATAATAAAACTGGTACAAAGAACTAATGAGTCCAGCAAGTTTAAAATTTCTTCCCTTATTCCTGTCGAAACATATTAAGCAATCACATTAAATATGCAGTACTTTACAATTTATAATGATATAGTCAAGACAAAAGAAGGCTTCAAGAGTATGTTGCTTTCTCTTGGTGTTAAAAAATTTAAGGACTGGGGCTGGAGAGATGGCTCAGAGGTTAAGAGCACTGACTGCTCTTCCAGAGGTCCTGAGTTCAATTCCCAGCAACCACATGGTAGCTCACAACCATCTGTAATGAGATCTGGTGCCCTCTTCTGGCCTGCAGGCATACGTGGAGGCTGAACAATGTGTACATAATAAATAAATAAATCTTAAAAAAAAAAAGAAAGTCCTTTTAAAAAAAAAATTTAAGGACGACTCATATATTCTTTCTATATATATGTATATACTATAGAGAGAATATATAGTGTGTATGTATATAGTATATATTCTCACACATATATTCCCATCTATATACATATATGTACACATACATTCATACATACACATATATCGTGATTTATGTGTATTATAGGTATTTTTCAGATATTTGTACTGTTAAAAAATGAAAAAATTCAAAACATACCATATAACAATACACAGAATCAATCTAAGCAGCTTATTTGAGAAGATAAGATTGGCAGACCTTTGTTTGGCCCGAGTAATTAAAAGAAAGATAAAACCCAACATAGTCAGAAATGAACAGGGACATATTACAAGAGAACCCAAAGAAATTCAAAATTTTATAAGAAATATTTTAAAACCTTGTATTCCCTTAACGTGGAAAACCTAAAAGAAATGGATGAATTTCTAGATCCAGCTAAACCACCAAAGTGAAACCAAGAAGCCAACAACCTAATTGGACCCATAACAAATGAGATTGAAATAATATAAAAAATTGCAGTTTAAAATAGTCCAGGGCCAGAGGATACTCATCAGAATTCTACCAGATGTTCAAAGAAGATCTATGGCCAGTCCTTCCTATATGACAGGAAAGAAACAGAAGGTGCACTCCACTGTAATTCTAAAACCAGGAAAAGACAGCAAAAAAGAAAACTGGAGCTATAGATTCAAAATGCTCAATAAATACTGGCAAACAGAATACACATATTGAAAATATTATCTACCATGACCAAGTTAGCTTTATCCCTGAAATGCAAGGATGATTCAACATGCAAGTCAATAAATGCAATGAACCATATAAATGGACTTAAAAAGAAAAATCACATGGACATAATAGATACAGAAAAAGCCTTTGACAAAAAGATGCATTCGTGGTAAAAAGTCCTAGAGAATGTAGGGCTAGAAGGAACATAATTCAACATAATAAAAGCTATATACAAGACTCCCACACACAGTGGAGAAAAGTTAGAAACAATTCCACCAAAGTCAGGAATGAGAAAATGATACTCATTACCCCCACTCCCTTTCAATATTGTGCTAGAAACACTAGCTAGAGCAATAAGGCAAAAGAAGGAAATTAAGGTGATACAAATAGGGAAAGATGAAGACAAACTTAGCAATGTGGCAGGGGTACTGAAACAACCTGCACAAGTGAATAGCCTGTCTACGCACCACCAGCAAATACACAGAAAAGGAGATAATAGACTGACTTCCATCCACAAGCCTCAAAGGGAATATCTGCAAACAAACCTAACCAAGAAGGTAAAGGACTTCTACAATGAAAAATTTAAGACGAGAGAGAGAGAGAGAGAGAGAACGCTAGAAAATGGAGAGACATCTTGTGCTTATGAATTGGTAGAATTAATATTAGGAAAATGACCATTTTATCAAAAACTGTACACAGATTCAATGCAATCCTGACCAAAAGTCCCATCTCATTCTTCACAGAAACAGGAAAAACATCCTAATATTCATATGGAATCACAAAGTCGACATAGTCAAACCATTCTGAGGAAAGATAACAACACAGAGGGATTACATTCCAGGTTTTAAATATATTACAGAGCCGTAGTAATAAAAAATAAGAAAGTCATGCTTGATGACACAAACCTGTATACCCAACACTTGGGAGGCTGAGGCAGGAGGATCACATCTTCATGGCCAGCCTAGGTTGCATGGTAATCTGACTCACCAGCATAGGTTAGTGAATACTCCGAGGTACATCTCACCTGCATGTATTCCTATGCAAAGCTTGAATAGTGAAGCTTGCACACCAGCCCAGTAGACCCAGCCATAACTCCCATTCATACCCTTTCTTGGCTACCATTGAATTGGAATCAACTACATCCATCTAGTCAAAAACCAACACTGAGGGGCTGAAGAGATGGCCCAACAGTTACAGTTCTGCTATTCTTCCAGAGAACTTGGATTTTGTTTCCAGCACCCACATGGTAGCTGACAACCACCTGTAACTCTAATGGGCATCAGATGCTCTATTCTGGTTTCTATGGGCACGGCATGTACATGGTGCACATATACAGGCATGCAAAACACCTGTACACAAAGAATAAAAATCAACACTGAGAACCAGAGAGCTGACCAGACCAACTATATCTGATGTCAAATTGTCCAAGCATGAGTGGTAACAACAAAGCTAAGTTTCCACTATATAGAGCAGACTAGAATTCCACATCTGATAAACAACCAAAGAAAGAAATTCATATGCCCAGGTCACCTTGCAAAAAACACAACAAATATGAAAGAAATATGTTTGTTCTCCAGGGGGAATTTCTTAGGCTGACCCAGGACACAGACTTTAAAATAACAATGATCATGAGCAAGGAACTCATGGAAGTTAAAGAGGCCATAAATTTCTTAATAAACTTAAACTCCCAAATGAAGTCTAAGAAAACACAAACATGGCTGAATGAAATGACAAAGAAAAGTCAGGATCTAAAAAGTGAACAAAGGAAAAAAAATACTGAAGAAAACATAAGCTGAAATGATAGAATAAAAAATCCTCCATAACCCAATTGGAAAACTTCGGGAGAAGCCACACCAGTAGAATGGGTCAATAGAGGACAGAATACCAAGACTTGAGAGTAAAGTAGACGAATTGGATCACTCAAGCAAAGAATAAGAAAAAATTCAAAACCCAAAGGAGTGTGAGGAACTTTAGGACTCCATGAAAAGACCAAAACTATGAGTTACAGGCACAGATGCAGAAGATTATAGAAGAAAAATTTCCCAAATTAAGGAAAGACACACACAAAGATACAAGAAGCACGTGGCCCACCTCATACACAGGACCAGAAAAGAAACTTACTGTGGTATAGTATAGTTAAAACAGAATATATAGAACCAAGAGGGTGTGTTGTATGCATGTGTGCAATTCTCAAAGAATAAATAAAAACACTATGTAAAAGCTGACATGAATTTAGGCGTGAGAACAGAAGTAGTGCCCTTTGTTCCTAGACATGAATGTGCGAATGAAATACATGGGCTTGCAAAAGCAACTTTAATATATCAAGACTTAAGAACTTCCGCTCGAAACCTAGTGCGATGGAAAGTAGTCTTTTGTGATGGGGTTTGTTTTAAAATCAATTTCTATGAGAAGTCACCCTTCTTTGTTTCTTTCTGCTTTTCTTTGGCAATTTGTGCTTCTTATCTTTTCAGGAATAATATATAATATATATTTAGATACAGAAGATTAAGTCTTATTCAGAAGCAGAGAAGTGGGAGGAGAGGGCAGCAGAGGACTCTCAATAAAGAAGAGTACCCGGAGTTTTGTTTCCACGTCAGCGTTGCTGGCGCACTATGGGTCTGGGTTGGGAGCCAGGCTTTCATGGAGTAAAACTCTGGGATACTCTTGTGTTCCTCTGCTGCCCACTCCTCCCACCTCTCTGCTTCTGAATAAGATTCTTATCTCCCGGATCATTGCAAACAACACACATGCGCATTCAGACAGTTTAGCTGTGAATTAGGGTTGCTGGACTCTGAAGTTCTCAACGGACTGTAATCAAGTGTCTTTTTGCATCTAGTTCCCAATCAAAAAGTCACACACAGATGCTGAAAGGTTGTCGTGTGTGCTGTGCATCGTCATGAGTACCGTGAAATGGTTTTCCATTCAGAGGGGCAAAGGTCATCTCACCAAATATTGCCATCTAGTTTAAGGGACTGTCAAGTGCTCAGAGACTCCTTTTCATTTCATTTCATAGACACAAAGAATAAAGTTAGACAATATTAAAGAATTCTTGATTTTCCCTATAGGGCACAAAACTA